GGGTCTTGGGTCACGGTGCAGGTGGCATGTTAAACCCAGGCAGCGGGAAATTCACCCCTGTGGAGAGGGGCTAGCACAAGGCCTAGGCAGCATTTAAGAGGTGCAGTGCATTTCCCCTTAGGACCACATGCATGTTGCTCTGCACGGAGCCCCACGGGCAGGCTAAGAAGTGTACTGACGAGCTCTAAAGGAGTCTCCAGATAGTCCTTGACAGCTAAGGAAGGTCACCATGGAACCGGACCCCGCAGCAGGAGGGGCGAGTTTTCCACTGGGGCATTCTCATGTTGCGGCGTCTCCTCTGGGCTAATCCAGATTTGCCTTTTCCTAAAGCACGCTCTCCCCGGGAAGAGGACTGTACCCAGTGCAAGCCGATTGCATGCACACAAGCAAACTCTAAACGGAAATTCCGCTCTAGTGACAGCTGGCGACTCTGAAGTTACAGGGCCAAAACCCTCAGCTGGTGTCAGTGGGTGTAGTCACTGGAGCTACAGAGGATCTGGCCCATGGTCTGCTGCCCGGGGGTGGGGCGGGAATTTGGTTCACTCCTCTCCGCACTGCACTGAATCAGAATCACTGATGTCACTATGTGCATGGAAGGTGCATGAGTTTGAGGCTATAGGTAGGCTTGGGAAGATTTATGCTTGAGTGTTAGTGAACCACTTCTCACCCCACGCGGGAACTGACAGGAATTATTTTCCATCCTTAAGAATTGGAAGGCAAAAGCACAAATCAAAATCCTTCCTATCTGACTCTGGCTGTGTAGGGTGGGCAGGTTGGCCCAGGAGGCATGGGATTGTCATGATAAATGGAACCACAAACATTAAGGAAGAGGCCTTTATTGCAGAAAACAACCAGAAACCTGCTTCCACGCAGATTGAGTTCCAGCTTTGTCCCTCTAGTTTACCAGGGACCACACCTTTCCTGGGGCTCAATGCAGCACTGTCACAGGGTGATGCCCCTTTCAGGGGAGATGGGGCCAGCCCCACCCGTGCCATAATAATTAATTAGCTGCTTTCCAGCCTGAGGGAGTGGGACTAAGGGGGAATAGGTGGTTGCCCCGGGGGAGAGGATCCCACGTAGCTGATCTAGCCCTGAATCACTGACATTACAGAAGGTAAAGATCTGTCACATCAAGCAGTCTGTCCCCTCCCAACACAGGGCTTTGTCTGGTCTCGGGTTAAATGTCTCAGAGGATCTGGGGCTCCCTCACTCCCCGTGGGACATTTAGGTGTCTAGCCTCAGGTTATAGGGTAGGGCCAAATTGCTGAATTGGTTTAATCTCAGCTCCATTCCCAGTGCCCTTGCAACGGTCGTCCTCACGGCCGCGAGCGCCACCATCTTTCACTTCTCCAGAGACGTCGGAAACGGATTCGCCGCTGGCTCCGGCCCCGTGGCAATCGGCCCCAAGGACAGACCGTCAGGCGGCCAGAAGCAAACCTGACACCCACACTAGCCTGTTACCCCCAGGGACTGGATGGCTCGGGGGGCTTGTGGGATGGGGCTGTGGAGAGATTCACCGTCTGCTATTCGTTCAGATCTAGCCCAGACTGGGCACCCTCTGGGAGTAATTCACCGGCCCGGAGTGGGGAAATGAGCTGAGTTGCTCCGTCTGTTTCTTAGCGGGTGGTTGTCTCTCTTGCAGATAACACCATCACCGTAGGCAGCAGCCTCCACTCAGGGTATGTCTACACTGCAGGGCGTTCCCAGGCCAGGGGGGAGGGTGGAAAGCCAGAGGTGCTTCTTCCCATGCTGTTCTGCAGATAAATAAAGGCTTCCTTCCACCTGCAGCAGGTTCCCCCTGGAAAAGAAAAGAGGCCCTCTCGGCCTGCCCACAAACACAACACGCTGGCAGAGCGTCCTCCTCTGCCGGCTGCTCCAAGAGAACATCCTACCACCGCTACCAGCTAAAGGAGCTACTCCTTTCACTCGAGCGGCAGAGATCTGTGGTGAGGGTTCCAGGTCCAAACCCTGCTGATGGGCGATGCCGGGGCGGAGTCGTCGTTACACGGACGCTGAGGGATTGTGTTTCATTTTTGCCTGCTGGAGGTTGGGGGACGGCCCATCCGCCCCACCTCATTGCATTGTCTCAGGGCTCCTGACTGAGAAGCGACTGCTTTCCCCTTTGCGGCTTGCGAGCTGATCCCCGCCTCTGCTGCCTTTCCAAAGAGCCAAACTTGCCATGGCAGAGGAAGAGCAGGGCACTGCCCCAGCGGGAAGCACTTTCCTTCCTGCAGCGATCTGTTCCCACCTTCGCTGGTCAGAGAAGAAGGCAAGCAGCATGGAAGGAAGCCACAGGGCTTGCAAGAGAGTTAGATCAAGGACAATGTTACCTTACACTTCTCTAGCTCCCATCGATCGCAGATCCCCACCACACCCCTGTGAGACAGGGAGGTGTTAGCCGATTGCAGGTGGGGAAACTGAGGCACAGACAGGCGCTGTAACTTGCCTGAGATCAGAGAGCAAGTAGATGTCAGAGTCAGGCATAGAACCCAGTTCCCTTGATGTCCAGTCCCGTGCGCTAATCACTAGACCCGTGTTCCCTCTATGTGGACACTTCTCCTGGAGAACTCAGTGTGTTGATGGACAAATTTGGCCTGGATAAGAATGGCCGTACTGGGTCAGACCAAGGGTCCATCTAGCCCAGCATCCTGTCTGCCAACAGTGGCCAATGCCAGGTGTCCCAGAGGGAGTGAATCTAACAGGATCTGAGATTTGCTGAGCATCGGCAACACCCACAGAAGTCAAGGGGCTCAGCTCCTCTCAGTGTCAGGCCTTAAAGTCTCCGTTCCCCTCCAGCTAAGCCCAGGACCCATTTACAAGCCAAGCCTGCCCATCCTAGGGGTGCTTGGCTATTGGCTGGGTGAAAGTCACAGCCCGGCTGTGTGGGGTTGGGACTGGATTGGAAGGATAGTTTTGTGCTTAGGGCACCAGCCAGGGATACATTTGATCTTGTTTGAGGCACGGCCTGCGTGGTCAGAACATAAAAGGAGTCCATGCTTGCAACTCAACTGGCTGTTTAGTAAGAGAACTATTTGCTGAGACGCTGCAGCGAGCATTCTAGCCATGTGCACACAGACCGACCTCCCGGTGCCTCCGCCAAACACTTCCCTCCTGCAACCTGTGCTCTTCTCTCCAAGTTCCATGCAGGTGGCTACAGATCTTTGTTTAATTCCTGGCCCCACCACAGCTTGTGACCCTGGGACAGCTCAAGGAGGATGGGAGCTTTCAAAAGGCCTAGCTCTCCTCCCATTGCAACCAATGAGACTTTTATCACTGACTTCAGCGGGAGCAGAGTTTGGTTAATCCTGAGTACTTTTGCAAAGCTCACCCTTAAGCTCCCTGAACCTCAGTTTTTATAGTGTAGAGGAATTGGAAATCCCCCTTTAAATAGTGTGTGAGCCCTCTTGTGGTGCTCACTATGTTCTATGCTTTACAAACCGGGCGGAGCAGCAGTATGTGTATGCAGCTAGACCACGGGTGTGTAGCTAGTGAACATAGTTATTGGGACCCCCACTGGGCCGGTGTGGTTTCTACATATTATTTGGTTGCATAAAGAACAAAAGATTGATGAAAAGTGCTGTATCAGAGCTAGGTATTATCTGTAAATGTGGCATAAGAATCCTTCCTTTCCCCCAGCGTCTGTAAACTCATCGGGGCAGGCACCGTTTTATTTTGTGTCTGTACCTAGTACCATGGGGCTCTGATCTTGGATGTGAGGAGGCCTCTATTTGTTCCTATGATATATACTAGTAATATGAATGCATTGGGTGACATGACCGGGGTTATTTAAGGAACCAGCTGTCAGGTAGGTTTTTTGTGCTCTGAAGGAGATTGCAGTGAGAGCAAAGAGCCATTTGGTGGCACAAGAGAGCCAGCTAGAAAGGAGGGGCTAGAAATCGTTGGTGTTTCTCATAAAGGTCACTTGTACGCTGCAGCTGCCGGGCGTGGTGTTATGCCTTCCTCGAGCCCCCCAAGAATGACACAGCGAGAGAGAAACCTGTGCGCTGATTTTTGAATGCAGTGCTGAATTGCTTGCACAGATGCCAAACTGCCTGCCTCTCCCTAGCCTTCTCTTTGCGGACGAGGGAGGCATCTGAAACGTGAAATCCTGGGATTTTCCATAGCCAAGAGGGCTGGGACCACAAGCTGCAAATTTCAGCGGGTCAGCACATATCGGAAATCTTCCAAGATTGCAAATCTGGGAGTTGCTCTGGGATGGCCCAGCCAGTTTGGGACAATTTGCAGCACGGGCCTTGAGCATCGGGTCAAAGAAGCAGAACCGTAGTGGAACAGACGTGAAGGTGCAATCCGAGGCGGGGGTGTTTTTCTTGCCAACTAACCCAAAATGTTTGGGACTTTAAAGAGCAAACCTTGAATCGGGGACAAATGCGCACAAAGGATTCATGAGAGCGATGCTTCAATACGCAGCGATTCCTTCTCTGCGGTTATGTTCGGTAATGAAATCAAAATGAATATTAATCAAGTTGCAAAGAGCAACTAGCTGAAAGGATTCAGGATGATGCAAGCCACCGGCAGAAGGAAGCATGTTCCAGAAATAGAGGACACCCCTGATGTCTTGATTTCTGCCGTCTCCTGAGAAAAATACCAAGACACACATCTCCTAAAGTGACCATCCTCAATGTGCAGGAATATTTGCTGTCTCTCCTTATGTGCATGGAGGGAGATCCCTGCTTCAGCTAGCATTGCTGGCAGAGTCTATGAAAATCAGGTTTTGGCATTGAAAAGACATGAAAAATAAGGGGGCGTGCAGAGACATCATGAAAAACACAGGAGGGAGGAATCGATCTGACTAAGCCCAGTGTGCAGGTCCGTAAGGACAGAGATTTGTGGATATAATTTTATTCCACCAGAGAATCCCGAGAACTGCTTTTTAGTCCATCTGCATGTTTGACACTAGACTAGGTGTGGAGGGTGGGAAGTCACAGCAAGATTCCAATCTCTTTCCCTAGCAGGAAATTCCTTTCTGCGGCCCCCCCAACATGCCTACCTCCAACCCCGGAGTGGAGTACTGGATTGACGGGTCCCACCGCAACTCTGCCCTGGAGGACTTCTACACGATGGGCCCGGAACTGGGAAGGTAACGGTTTGAGGTTATCGGATTTTGATTCGTGGCGTGGGTGAGCTTTGCGTCTCTTGCTCCTAACGGTGCCTCTTGCAGTTGGGGGTCAAGTGCACGGGACGGGTAGGTCAAGAGCCTGGAGTGAAATGTGGAGAGGGTCTCCCAATGGATGGGAGAGAGGGGCGAATTGTTTTCATTAGATCGTGCAAACCAAGCCCAGGACCAGGATTATATCTGGTAGGTGATGGGGGAGATCAGTTCAGGGTTTATAGGACTGGGCCTTTCCTTCTCTGGAGCCTGACCCTGTAAAGGGTAGAGTGTCTTCAATGGCTCTTGATTGATGTTCAGATTATTCCCTACTCTCCCACCTTCTCCAGGAGTGACTTAGGCATGTCAAGAAATGAGCTCTGCCATGAGTCACCAGGCGGAGGGGTGCCTCCTCCCTATAAAAAGGGGTAAACAGGGAGGTGGCAAAGTTTGCAGACGATACAAAATTACTCAAGTTAGTTAAGTCCAAAGCTGACTGCGAAGAGTTACAAAGGGATCTCACAAAACTGGGTGACGGGGCAACAAAATGGAGGATGAAATTCATTGTTGATAGATGCAATGTAATGCGCATTGGAAAACATAATCCCAACTATACATACAAAATGATGGGGTCTAAATTAGCTGTTACCACTCCAGAAAGAGATCTTGGAGTCATTGTGGATAGTTCTCTGAAAACATCCGCAGCGGCATTCGAAAAAGCGAACAGAATGTTAGGAACCATTAGGAAAGGGATAGATAATAAAACAATAAATACCATAATGCCACTATATAAATCCATGGTATGCCCACACCTTGAATACTGCGTGCAGTTCTGGTCACCCTATCTCAAAGAAGATATATTGGAATTGAAAAAGATACAGAGAAGGGCAACAAAAATAATTAAGGGCATAGAACAGCTTCTGTATGAGGAGAGTTTAAAAAGACTGGGAGTGTTCAGCATGGAAAAGAGACGGCTAAGGGGGCTATGAGAGAGGTCTACAAAATCATGACTGGGGTGGAGAAAGTGAACAGGGAAGTGTTATTTACCCCTTCACAGACCACAAGAATCAGGGGTCGCCCAATGAAATTAACAGGCAACAGGTTTAAAACAAACACAAAGAAGTATTTCTTCACACAATGCACAGTCAACCTGTGGAACTCCTTGCCAGGGGATGTTGTGATGGCCAAAACTATAACTGGGTTCAAAAAAGAACTAGATGAGTTCCTGGAGGACAGATCCATCAATGGCTATTAGCCAAGATAGTCAGGGATGCAACCCCATGCTCTTGATGTCCCTAAGCTTCTGACTGCCAGATGCTGGGGCTGGATGACAAGGGATGGATCATTTGAAATTGCCCTGTTCTGTTTGTTCCCTTTGAAGCATCTGGCACCGGCCACTGTCAGAAGTCAGGATACTGCGTTAGATGGGCCATTGGCCTGACCCAGTGTGGATGTTCTATGTCCTTAAGCACCAGATAGTTCAGGAATTGATAACAAGGACCAGAGCCTCGGATTTGAATCTGCCCCATTTTGCAAAGGAAGTTCTGTAAAAGTGGTTACTCCCTGCCCGGGCCTTGCGGGGCTGATGTGCAATGGGTGTGGTGGGTCTCAGTCCAAGTCCTACCGGGCTTTTGTCCACCATCACAACTGGTGCTCACCAGCTCTCTTGTCAGTCTGGACTATAGAGCTAATGACAGCGGCTGTGGAGAGCTCATTCGGTGGACAGACCTGCAAGTTCTTTCTGATAGGTCCTAACAAGGAGCGGTGCTCTCATAACAGGCAGGGCCTGTGCCCTGCTTTGTTTATGTCGGGACTTGCGCTAAATTTCCAGGGTGAAATTTCCAGACTCGTCTCTATGTCGGAGAAAAATGAGATTTTAAAGTAAGCCAAACGTTGTGCTTCAAACCCTAGAATGTGTCTTTTTGAGCAATCGTTTTCTCCAGCGAGGGTCACTTCTTATTATTTCTTATTTGCATTGCAGTAGCGCATAAGGGGGCCGCTCAGTCAGGGATCCAGGCCCTGTGGTGCTAGGCGCTGTACAAACCAATAACATAGACAGTCTCTGCCCCAGAGAGCTCACACTATGCAAAGGGTTCATTGATGTCAATGGAAAGACTCCCCTTTACTTCAGTGGGCTTTCGATCAGGTTCTAGGTGATTCAATAGACAGTGGGACGAAGGGGGCGGGGCAGAGGGTGAGAGGACAAAGTGATGGGAGAGACCGGTGTGGTCGTGTAAGTTAGTAGACACAGAGTTTCTCTGATCCAAATCCCACTGAAGTCAGCAGAAAGACTCCTGCGGACCAGTAGCTGGCCCTTGGTTTGGGCCCTTACAAAGAAATGGGCAATTTGCAAAACCCAGCTCTGGAGCTTGGTTCAGATTGGAAGTACCCCCTAAAGTTCAGGCGAGTTTGAAGCTGGAATGTTGAAGCCCTCCTGTGGTCTCGGCCTTCTAGATCAGCTCTAGAAGTTGCCTGTAAGTAATTTGCATTGCAAATATCCATGTAACATAAAAGTCTGATGGAAGCCTAGGCAGGAAGTGCGAAGGTAAAACTAAAAACTTGCCCTTAAATACGTGTCGCCGACTCCCATGATTTTGTCATGAGTCTTGCAGTATTTGGTGCTTTTCCAAAAGTGCCTGCTCCTGGAGTCAGGTGATTAGGTGAGACTCTCAGCTTTCATTTAAACAAAACAAGCTTCTAGCCCTCATGGCTGCAGAGAAAAGCTTGCAAACATGAAACTTAAAGGCTCAGCACCCAGCAGACAAACGTAAGATCTTGGGGCCATCTTTTTGGTTAGTGTTTGCACAGCACCTAGCGCAGGGAGGTTCTGGTCCATGAATGGGGCTCCTGGATGCTACCGCAACAGAAGTAAATAAATAAATAGAATCAATGCACCAAACAACATCATCATTTTCCAAAAGAGGGGTTTTTTTTATTCTCATAATTGGTAAGCCAAAAACGCATGAGGCTGGAGGGCTGGGCTTGCAATTTGTGCATGTTTGGGGTTGGCAACCCTGTACCCTGCTGCGTCTAGCTGTTGCAGCTCCCATTGGTTAAGAACAATCCTCAGGGCCTGATTTCCTAAAGCACTGGCAAGCGGCTCTCAAAGGAGGTTGTGAATCCCCAGCACCACTGGGCACCAGGCCCTCCGTGCTTACAGAGCCCTGTACATCTACCTGGGGGACAGGACTTTGTTCAGATGGGGGAAGTGAGCAGACTAGAGCTTCAGTCTCTTGGGCCAAGGCTGCATATTCCAGGGCAGATCCAAAGAAGTGCTGAGCACTGCCAATTGCTTTCAGTAGGATTAGCAAGCGCTCTGGGTCTCTCAAGATGAGACCATTACAATCCAGGGCAGGGCTCGGGTCATCCTCGCTGAGACTCTTAGACAACTCTGCCATGGTTAGGGTTGTGTAATGAAATGAGACTCTCTGGGTGTGTCTACACTGCAGTAAAACGCCTGCAGCTGGCCCGGATCAGCTGACTTAAAGGGGCTTGGGTTGTGGGGGCTATAAAATTGCGGTGTAGACATTCGGGTTTATATTCCATGGTCCTTTGTGGTTGCAGAGGATTGTGGGATTTGGGTCATGGGAAGAAACAATGAGAGATTTTGGGCTGGGTCTACTATAACTGGATGCTACAAGGTAAATTCAGGACCAAATTTAGGAGCCTTCAGATTAGTGCTGGCTGGAAAACCGGACTTGGTTCCACGAACATGTCCAACCTTTGCCAGTTGGAAAACAGTCAGAAAAACCCACAATTTTTGAACAAAAAATTTCAAAAATACCCCCCCCCCCAAAAAAAAGTCAGTTTCTCAACATTTGCCATTTTAAAATGTTGAAAAAATATTTTTTTGCCAGAAATTCTTTTTTTTTTCCACCAAAAAATCCCCAAAATGTTTTTTTTTTTTTAAATCTAGATTTCCTTGTGAAAAAACTTCCAAGGGAAAATGTGACCAGCTCTATTGAAGACAATTTTCTGTCAGCGGACAGTGGAAGTCAGATTTTGCTGTCATCCCAGTGGCTTCTCTTGGGAATTAATTCTTCTTTGTTGTTTGATTAAAACAATGAGCAATCTCCAAGCGTTGTGCAGATCAATGACCAATTGAGAACCTCATGCCTGTAATCCCTGGGAATGCCCTGCCCTTGGGTAGTTACTGCTAGTGATCAAAATGAAAAAGGGAGGGAGGGCAACAAACCACAGATGTGGGTATTTTTGGTTTTAGGACCAACATTGTTTCAAACCGTTGCCTACAAGGGCTTTCTAGAGAAGGAACCTTTGTATTTTTAACCAGCTAGCTCGCTTGCCTTGTGAGTTTCCCATTCAATGCTTACCGGTCATTATTAAACAACCTAATATAAAAATGAAAAATCTGCAAATGCACAAAGGAAATTCTTTCTTGGAAGTGGAGGTGAGATTGGGCAGGTTTAAAACGTGCATTAATCTTAGCGATAGGTCCTGAGGGCTGTTCCAATAAATACACAGTTTAGGAATGTTTTAAAGCGCTTATATTTTTATCCTGATCTGTGCAACAAGCGTAACTGAGCCTGTGTGTGTAAATCCTTAATTAGGGACTCTTTTTAAAAGCTGATTCTTTTTTCTTCCTTGTGACCTGTTAAACCGTATCATGGCCACAAGCACAGAAGAGCTTTTAAATCTGTTTGCTTTACTCAGCTATCAGCTATGAGCTCAAGAGGCTCAAGAAATGCGCAAGAAGTAGAAAGGGGCAGGAACAACTGAGCTAGGATGGTGCACTGATTAGGGCACCTAACTTCAGCTTTAGGAGACCTGAATTTAATTCCCTGCTCTGCCACAGACTGCCTGTGTGACCTTGGGCAAATCACTTAACCGCTCCAGGCCTCAATTTCCCATATGTAAAATGGGGATATTAGCAAGGCCCCGCCTCCCAGGGGGTTGTGAGGGTAAATGCATTGGCAGGTTGTGAGGTGCTCTGATGTTACGGTTATGGGGACCATAGATACACCTTAGAATGG